TCTTCTTGTAGAGACCAACTTACTTTGAGGTGTTCAAAGAGACCTCCAACTTACTTTGAGGTGTTCCAAATAGACCTTCACTTGCTTTTCTATTTTTCTCAAATTGAAGTTATCTAGATCAGACCAAAACAAAAACTGAACCATGGTTGTAGTAGTTGGGATGTGAACTAATCAGTTGGAGAATTTGGAACTGGACAACCTCTTTTTTTGTCATCATATATTTGCACCAAAATATATCAAAACTAAAAAATGGCGGACAAAAACAAGTTATCCACAAACGGATCAATCCGTACCGTCCACTACAATCATATCACAGAAACAATATTTACACAATAGCCCTTCAATTTTATATGATGCCCTAGAAATAGAAAACCGTTTCAAATCATTTTACCGAATTAAATCAAATTATACGAAAACAATGAAATTGAATTGCCTCATTCTTTTATTTTTCCTTTTTTGGGCAACACTTGGGCTTTGCATATATAGCTAATACTTGATGCCCAGTTTGAGGAGAATGCACACAAATATTTGGCAAATTATGGTTTCTAAACCTCTAGTGGGCTTGATATCAGACGAAATAAGCATAAATTGGAACCTTAATAAGTTCATGGAATCTAATAGTGCTTAGGCTTATATTCATCAGTAACGCAGTTAGACATGTAATGTTCAAACTTCAAAAAAAAAAAGACATGTAATGTTCAAACTTCAAAGCTATTATTTAATGTTCGTAATTTCAAAATGGAGAAACTTTGAAAAATAAAGATAGCTGAAATTTTATGCGCAAAGTAAAAGAACACATCTTTTTTTGAAGATTTGTTTTTCTCTAATCCCCGAAGCTAATCAAGAAAAAAAAAACACTAAAACAAATAAAAACAATTACAACCGCAAACATGCAGTTGACAAACCATATCAAGCACCACCGTCTTGAACTATCATTTGAAACAATGTGGATCTCCATGAAACCGACTACATCTGAACATTTCAATCCTCTTTTTTTTTAACACAGATCAAAGCATCGTTTAAATTATTATTTAATTATAATATATATTCTACTACATATGACGATTAACTAGATATAATGTTGTAGAACTCGATAGGCATTATCCGTTTGCTTGGCTTGGGAGTTTAATCTGGAAATAATTGGGGAGTAATTTTATAAGTTTTCGCGATATATACTATTAGTTGCTCAAATATTATGAATGTGTTGAGTGGTCTAGTGATTCTGTTGTGTTGATTGTTTCTCAGGGTTCGAGATTCAAGTTGTGGGTGATTCTTTTTTTTTTTGTTATTTTTCACTTTTTTATTAATAAACATAAATTACCAGAATATCCCCGTCTTCTCAGGGTTCCAGATTCAAGTTGTGGGTGATTCTTTTTTTGTTATTATTCACTTTTTATTAATAAATATAAATTACCAAAATATCTCTGTCTTCTTCATCTCCTATATCGATTTGGAAACCCTAATCTATCGCTTTTCACACTTTTTTTCCACGATTCATACATAGTTATGATAGATTTTTACATTAACTTATGATTTTGAGAACAAAATTTGTAAAACTGACTGTTTTTATTAAAGTACCAAGTTTTTAATTGAATTGGGACAAATCACAACGCAACGCTCCTTTTCCAATTGGCGTTTAACCGCCGAGTTTAATTGAATTGAGACAAATCACTATGCCTCGTGGGACAACACACATAGTCTATAACACATGCGAAGTGATAAATAATTTCACGAACAGCGATTCCACAATATAACCTTCTTCGTAATATTTGAATCGATGGATGTTATGCATGTATGATATTCTCGATGAAAATAATCTTTTCGCATCATATCATATGACCACAACGAATAGCTCTGATACAATATTCGAAACCTCTCAAAAATACATTTTATAATCTGTAAAAAGTTACGATTTATCTAAGAATCAAATAAAATAAGTTAAATGTCTTTGGTGGTGATCTTGTCAAGCTCACTGGATCAATATTATATTAAAAAGAGAATAAGGAGCAAAGATAAGCCTCTCCATGTTGACAATAAAAATCAGCCAATTAGAAGCTTCTGTTTTGCCATGTCTAATCTGTTAACTCGACAGAAATTAGAAATGGGCCAAAATGAGTCGTAACTTTCGGTCAATTGACATATTTAAAACTTATCTCTTCTTCCTAACTCAATGTTCATCGTAAACAATCATCTCCGACTCTTCCACTTCGTTATCATCATTTCCAGTCTCTGCTGATTGCATCTAGCCGTTTTTTGAAGTTATCATGATCCTTCACCCTGCCTTCTGATTTGAATTTAATCGCGACTATATTGAATTTATTGTGTATTCATGCTCTATGTGGATTCGATCTCTAAATACTACAACCGAACCTCTTATTTGAAAGAGTAAAGTTATTCCTTAGGATAATTTGAATGATATCAATATATATATATATATATATATATATTAATGGAGGATAGACATATTTTGTTTATTACTAATATTTTCATATTTTAATTTTGAAAATACAGTAACACAAAATTAGTGCAATTTTTATTGTTTTATGTATTGTATTTATATATTATGTATTTTATTGTAATTATTTATTTATTAAATATATAAAGTAGTTTTAAATTGTTTTTCTCATTATAAAATATAACCAGGCATTGAAATCGCGGGTTTGTCCAATATTAAAATCTGTTTTTTTTAATTCAAGTTAAAAATTGTAATTTTTTTAAACAAACATAAAATTTCATATATTTTGAAAATTTGTGTAAATAAATTAGTTTAAGTCATTTTTATATCATTTAAATTTTTATTTTCATTTTAGATTATAACAATAATATAAAATTGTATCAAAATAATTTTAATTATATATTGCAACTTTATTTAAAATTAAATATAAATTTAAAACTTGGTTGGATCGGTTCGACCATTAACCCACCTATAATGATTGTAATAAGCTGTTTGATGTGCTTGATCTGTCTTTCTTCCACTTGATCATTGATCTGCACTTAATCTGCATGATCTATCTCGTTTGAAATATTTTTTACTATTTAAACCCTATATCTGTAAATTGATTATAGAATTTATATTCCTTTCTTTCAATGTAGCTCTCTCTATGAATGCATTACACAAGTTACGACAAGAAACGTGTTATAAATAATAATGATCTTTCTGTATTGGCTCCTTGAGCTTTAGAGTTGTTTATTTGGAAAAGCTGCTTCTATTTGTCTGTTTCATCATTTGTTGCTTTGTTTGATGCGTCTTGTTAAGCAAGATTTTCCATTACGTCTTTCATCCTAGTTATCATGTTGGTGATGTCTGTTGTCTGTAAGGTAATCCTTGTGTTGGCAAAATAATTTGAGGTCATCTTTGATCTTTGTTGGCGTTGTTTTCTAAGTCCCCGCATATGGCGCCGATTATTTAATCTGGATTTGACCCATACATGTTATATGTACGAATTCAATGATGAGTTATCTGAAAAACGTTTATTGAGTTGATCATATACGAATTACAAGAGAAAATACTTAAATTCTATGAAAAGATGATGAATTCGACAAGAATAAAGTAAATTATGAAAACCCTAATCATGTGCCGAATTGCTCGTGTGTGTGAATACTACCTCCTAGTCTTCGGTCTATCTTTGTTCATTTTTAAACTAAATAGGCCGAATTCAGTCTATTCTACGGACTTTGTCCAAGGGATGTATTTTATTTCCAACATCCAACATGAACTTATTCTTTCTGAACAAGAGACTGAACTTATCTCATATCTTCTTGTCCCAAATTTCTGTACTAGTCTTTATATTTAGGTTTCAGCAGGCCCAGTCAATAAAAATTCTGAATTCTGAGAGTCAATTTCTCCTTTATTTTGTTGTTGATTGTACTGGCCCTTTTTGAGTTTTAACTTGGCTTGACTTTAGCATTGGTCCATCAAATAAAAATCCCACAGGATATGAATCGCATAAACCTCATGCTATTTCCTCTCTCTTTTTCAAACATTAGGAGAAACTTTGTAAAAGCACAAGTAGCTAATTAAACCCTTTTCCGCAAATGACATCTCCAACCAAAAGCAACAATCACTGATGCTTAAACTTATATCAAAATGCAAAACCCTGGAAAATCTCAAGCAAATCCATGGACAGTTCCTCACAACCGGCCTCTCTCACCACACGTGAAACTGAGAGCAGCTAGGTCTCTGTTCGACCGAATTACAGAACCTGAATTAGCCACTTGAAATACCCTTCTCGTTGTGTATGCTAGAGAAGGTTTACACGAGGAGTGTGTGAGGTTGGTTAGTGGACGAGGGTCTACAAATTTTTTACTCTATGATAAGGTTGAGCATTATGGATGTTTAGTTGATCTACTGGGAAGATCGGGTCGGTTGGAAGAATCTGAAGAATGCGTCAAGAAGATGCCTATGAAGCCAAATTTTGTAGAGATCGTTTCTTGGATCAACTCAAATCCACATGACTTGGAGAGGGTGAATTTGCACTAAGAATTTTTGGGGGGTTAGAAAATGAAAACAGCGGAAAGTATGTGCTTTTGTTCAACATTTATGCCGGAGTTAACCGTTGGGATGATGTGGAGAAGACCCGGGAATTTATGAAAGACCACCGTGTTAGTAAATCTCCAGGCATTAGTACTATACAATTAATTAACTAATTTCGATTATGTATTATTTTGCCTATTAACAACTTGTTAATTAGAATATACATGTTGATCCCATGACAACTTGATACGTGTAACCCAAAACTATTAGAAAACAGTTATATAATCAGTGTAGATCTTGTCTTTTACGCAGATTATATAAAATCAAAACAGTTGTTATGTTGTCCTTTAGATAATTAATCAAATAATAACAATTTGCTGTTGGGGGCGAATGGGTATTAGGTGCTAATTGACACCTCATCAAGACGTAGAAAGACCAATGTCCATTCACTTATCCACTAATTAAATATTTTAACATTTATTTTATGTATTAATAACATCACGGATCCACTAACTGTGTCTTAATTACAAGATTTTTAATTAATCAATGTTCTTGTAAGAAACTCAACAAACAAGACAAACTCCATCAAATGTCTTCTTCTTCAGCCGCCATCGTCTTCTCCGGTCCTCCTCTCCGATCATCACGAATCAACAGCCACCGTGTTTCCCGTTATGCATCCAGACCAACCTCCGTCGTCTCTCTCCGTCGACCCCGCCGAGGTCTCGCCGTGAAAGCGGCTCTGATCGAGCCGGACGGAGGAAAGCTCATGGACCTCGTGGTGGAGGAGTCGAAGCGGCGCGTGATGAAACGCGAGGCGGAGACGGTTCCCGTAAGGATCACGCTGAGTCGTGTTGATCTCGAGTGGGTGCACGTGCTTAGCGAAGGCTGGGCAAGCCCGCTCCGAGGCTTCATGAGACAGTCTGAGTTCCTCCAAACACTTCATTTCAACTCGATCAGGCTCGAAGACGGCTCCGTCGTCAACATGTCTGTTCCGATCGTTCTCGCGATCGACGACGAGCAGAAGAGTCGCATCGGTGATTCCGACCGAGTCACGCTCGTTGACTCCTCTGGTAACCCCATCGCCATCCTCAGCGAGTAAGTTCCCTTTGACCTAACATGTTTTCTTGAAGTTTTTGATTATTAAAATGGTTCTTGAAGTTCTTGAATATGACTATTGATTTATCTGAGCACAGCATCGAGATTTATAAGCACCCTAAAGAAGAACGTATAGCGAGAACATGGGGGACAACAGCACCAGGTCTTCCTTATGCAGAAGAAGCGATCACCAAATCAGGAAACTGGTTGATCGGAGGTGATTTACAAGTCCTGGAGCCGATCAAGTACAACGATGGTCTTGACCGGTTCCGTTTGTCTCCCTCTCAGCTACGTGAGGAGTTTATAAAGCGTGACGCGGACGCGGTTTTCGCGTTTCAGCTTAGGAACCCGGTACACAATGGTCACGCCCTTCTCATGACTGATACTCGAAGAAGACTTCTTGAGATGGGTTACAAAAACCCTGTCCTGTTGCTGAATCCACTTGGTGGATTCACCAAGGCCGATGATGTTCCTCTCAGCTGGCGTATGAGGCAACACGAGAAGGTATTATACATAATAAAAACCGCTTCCTTCTCTTCCAAGAAACTCTTTATTTGCCACTAAACCCTAGGGTTATTTTAGATAGATTAATATTGGATTATAGGCTTTGTTTCTTCTTTAGGATATCTTTGATTTTTGGTATTTGGTAGCATATGGAGTTAAAATGTAATGTTGTAGGTGCTTGAGGATGGTGTTCTTGATCCAGAGACTACAGTGGTCTCCATTTTCCCATCTCCAATGCACTACGCTGGTCCCACCGAAGTTCAGTGGCACGCCAAAGCTAGGATCAATGCGGGAGCCAATTTCTACATTGTCGGCCGCGATCCAGCCGGTATGGGCCATCCAACAGAGAAGAGGGATCTATATGATGCGGATCACGGGAAGCAAGTACTTAGCATGGCTCCAGGACTCGAACGGCTCAACATTCTACCCTTTAAGGTTTTAATCAATCTCTTAATCGGAAATTTCTTTGAAAGTTTCAAAGTCTGATGGATTTGGGTTTTGCTTGCATAGGTTGCTGCGTATGATACAACTCAGGGGAAAATGGCTTTCTATGATCCTTCCAGGTCTCAAGACTTCCTCTTCATATCAGGAACCAAGGTAACAAATCTAATTGTACGTTCTTTTTCTTACTTTATGAGTGTAAAGCAAGACATACATTGATGTATTTTTTTCTTTTTGCTGTTAGATGCGTGGCTTGGCGAAGAAGAAAGAGAACCCACCAGACGGTTTCATGTGTCCCTCTGGTTGGAAAGTGTTGGTTGATTATTACGACAGTCTCAACGCAGAGTCTGGTAATGGAAGGGTTTCAGAAGCTGCCATTTCTGCTTGAATGCAGAGATTCCGTGTCCCACAAGTTCACATTTCATGTTCAATAGTACCACAGAAGCTTCTGTTTGTGTATCAAAAAGCTTCCCAAATAAAACCAGTGTATGATTGTATAAAGCAACTGTGTGTTCTCTGCGTCTCTGTTGTCGCATCGATTTGTACCATATTTGCGTATTGTTGTTTGAAAAAAAGAAGAAAACACTTATGGTTGCGTTTGATCTGTTAACTTCTCAAAACAGTACTGTAAACTAAAGAAAAACACTATTATTTATGTTTCCTATATAATAGTGGGGCCCATAGGCGGTGGTGGGTCTATTCCCGGCGGGGGAATTTCCGGTGGACGTGGCGGTTCCCAGTTTGGAGGCACCACATCAGGAGGTCTTTCCGGAGCTGGAGGATTTGGTGTATCTGGCATCGGTGGAGATGGAAGCGGTGGGACCGGAAACTCAGGGCCTGGATTTTGCGGCGGTCCAACCGGTGGTGGGTCGCTAGGTATCGTTGTGACTTCTGGAGGAGTTTCCGACGGGTTTATCTCCGGTATGTTAGGAAGTTCTGGGACTTCTAACGGGGCCCACTCTGGTCCTCTGCTCGGTCGTGAAGGTAACTCTTCCTCCGAGGGGGATCCACCTGGAAATTGAATTTCAGGTGAACCGGTTTGGCCAACGAAATCGAACCGGGGAAGAGAGTAGGTCAAGGACATTAACCTTCTGACCGGTTTAACTGATTTCGATGCTGCTATTAACCGTGTGGGACATGGTTTAGACTTGTATGAGTGTATAAAGAAAGACCTCATAACATTAGCAGAGACCAAAGACATAACACAACTCTGCGACATTTTCGTTTTTCTCTAACTTCGCTAATTCTTACAAAGACACAATTTAACAGGCTTCAAGTACATTGGCACGTGTCCTCAAGATCCAAACACGTGTCATTGTTGATTGACACGTTATCACACAATACACATGACTAATCGCGTACTCACATATGGATAGACGACAGTACAATCAGATATGTCATAGATAAAGATAAGTCACATAAGAACATTAAAAGATAACAATAACAAATACTTCTCCAAAGAATTAATAAAACAACACTAGGACGAGGTAACGGGAGTGATTCTAGGAACTGCAACAGGAAACTCATGAATCTCATCACTCCATGGGTTAGACTTCTCAACTGGATCAATCGTTCTCAATGCTTTCCAGACCGCACTATTACACTTGAAACCCGATCCAAAAGCAATCTGCCATGTCCTGTCTCCTCTCTTGATCCTTCCTTTAGCTTCACTATACGCAAGCTCATACCAAAGCGAGCTACTCGAAGTATTACCAAACCGGTTCAACGTCATCCTCGATGGCTCCATATGCCATTCGGATAAATCCAAATTCTTCTCTATCTCGTCAAGAACGGCTCTGCCTCCAGCATGAATGCAGAAATGCTCGAACGCTAGCTTGAAATCTGGAATGTAGGGTTTGATTTTCTTGACTTTGAAGACTTTGCGTGCCACGAGGGTCGCGAAGAAGAGAAGCTGTTCGGACATGGGTAGGACGAGTGGTCCGAGAGTTGTGATGTTTGTCTTGAGTGCTTCTCCGGCTATTGCCATTAGGTTTTTGGATAGGGAGACTCCGACTTTGCCTGTTTCTTCTGCGTTGTTGTCTTCTCGTTGGTAAACGCAGCCAAATGCGTTGTCGTCAGCTCCTTTGTGGGTGCGGACGGTGTGGATGAGCTGATATTTTGAGCGCCTGCGATCGGTGGGACGGTTCGAGAGAAGTACGGCGGCTCCACCCATACGGAAGATGCAATTAGATAGAAGCATTGATCGGTCATTACCTAAGTACCAGTTTTGGGTTATGTTCTCTGTGCTCACCACTAGTGCGTATGAGTTTGGTTGGACCTGCGTTATTGTCACGATTCCATAAGTAACTCAGCACACGTATACTACAATTTAGCTAAAATAACATTCTTGCATGTAAAAGAAAAACTATAACATGCATGTGATATTTTTTTTTTGTAACTTAATTGTGCATGTGATATTACTACATAAAAAGTGTTAGTGTTTGGAGTTGCCAGATGTGTATGCACCTAACATTGTTGCCACTCATTTAAGAACTTTGATTCAATTTGCCAACCAGCTTAGACATTTTAAAAACTTGCAAGCATGTGCTACCACGTTGGTTTCTCAATTGTGTATATTATAATTATGAATGTTGAATGATACACTACTATTTAAATAAATAAATATATGTCTATAGCAAGTAATCGTAAATAGTTACGCATCCATCTTGAACTCCTAAGATATGTACTGTTGTGTTTGTAGTAGTTAGAGCATGATTATTGCAGGTCCCTTAAGCTGGGTCCCTTAACGTACAGTCCCTTAGTTTTTAACTGAAAACGCTAAGGGACGTCCCTTATATAAGGGATTTAAGGGACGTCCCTTATCGTTTTCAGTTAAAAGCTAAGGGACCGTACGCTAAGGGACCCAACTTAAGGGACCTGCAATAAACATGGTCTTATGGTTTTATTCATTTTCACAACCACCACCTACCCAAAGACTAAAAGGCCTGTCACTGTCAGACTTTTATTAGACACGTGACATTTTCACCTTTATGGTTTCATACAACTCATATTATTATAAGTTTCATCCACATAATTAAAGTAGTAGTATAGCAAATGATTCGATTTGAAATAAAATTAGCACACTTGCAGGTTATAACAGGTAATAATGGTACGAAACCGTAGTTAATTATTAAAATTTATCTACCTGTAAATTGTATTAAATGCTTATTAATTGAGACCTAGCCGGAAATAATTAATAACTTTTCAATTTAATGAGCTGTCGTCAGAATTTTCAAACATGTGAAGGTTGAATAAGAAAGAGTCCTACTAGATTTTATCTAGCCATCAATCAAGATGACTTATAACAAATAGTCAAAATCACTAAACCGGACTAAACCAACCTACCCTAATAATTACAACATAATACTAATTAATTACTATCAAACAAATTAAAGAGTAGAATAATATACCTGGAGAAGCTGTTTAGCGAGATCAATGGAGATAAGACCAGCACTACAACCCATTCCACCGAGATTATAGCTCAGAATATTTCCTCTAAGCTTATACTTATTCACAATCATCGCAGAAAGTGACGGGGTCGGATTAAACAAACTACAATTCACCACAAGAATCCCAATATCCTTCGGTTTAATACCGGTTTTCTCGAGAACAGCATCGATAGCTCCGAACATAACCGTCTCAGCTTCTTTTCTCGCTTCCTCCATGCAAGGATTCGGAGGAACACGAAGAAGTGCTTCAGGGAAGTACGTTTTCTGACCAAGACCGGATCTCTCGAGGATCTTTTGTTGGAAAGCGAGATTGTCTTCCGTGAAGATGCCTACACGTTGAGATCGGTCCATGAATGTTTCACGAGTGCAGATCAAAGAAGGGTCTGGTTTGTAACATGAGAAGTCGAGGAGGAAGACACGGCGAGGACGAGTGGTGAAGTAAGCGGTGGAGAGGGAGATCAAAAGTGCGGTGGCGAGTGTGGCCGAGAGGTAATGGAAACGGAGGTGGTTGTAGAGGATAGTTAGGTCACTGAGGGAGAAAGAGGAGAGGTTTGCGATTGTTGCGGCTAGGAGAGGGAGGAGGAGGATGTAAAGAGCGTTGGTGATTAGGTAATGGTATCCGAGTTTGACGTATTTGAGACGAACGGACAGGAGGAAGTTCGGGAGGTTGTTAGGGTTTTGGTCGGCGTTTGTGACATGGACCGGGACAGGACGGTGAGGTTGGTCTTGGTTATGGGTCATGGTGAGATAGAAGACAGGTTTGAGCTTTCTTTCTTACGTTGTTGTGATGAATAGTAAGAGGAGGATATTTGTAGAGAATAGAAGTGTCAAGTGCAAGTTTTTTTTGTTTTGTGTGAGAGAAGAGAATGGCCTGAAAAGTTGGAGGAGTTGTGAGAATTTAAGGGAAGGTTTTTTGGAGAGAGAGACTAGGCTAATAAATGTAGTTAGGGGAAATGGGAAATATTTAAGGAATAAAATAATGTATTTATATAATATATATACAGAATATTTCCAGCAAGTTGAAACTAGTAAATGAGGTTTATTTCTTAATGTAAAATTACATTCTGTATAACCTAAGAAATATTATCCATGTGTAATAACAATTGTAGGCAAAAAGATAGAAACATATGTTTACATTGTAATGGTAAAATTAGAAGTTGATACACATGAATACATAAAACTAAGAAATACCCCTTTAAACATGACAGCCTTTTTAAAAATAAATATTGACGAATCAGAAAAAAACAGTATACTTCCACATAATGTTTTTAAATATATTAAGATAATGATAATACCATTTTAGTTCTATCCTAAAACGATTAGGTTCTCTTTATTTTAGTAAACAAATATTGTTATTATTCATAAAAATCTAAATTTTATATCATATAAAAGTGGATAAACAATTGATGTAGGGAGGGAAGATGCAACTACCCCAGCGAAAGCTTTTAATGGTTTTCGACAGCTGAGATTGACACCTACGAGACGCCGATGACTTTTATGATTTTATACCATTGGTGGCTAAAATTGGCCGCGTACATGTAACTGACTGTTATACCCTTTATTTGACCCGATATTTTTGAAAACTAGCCTCTTTTGCGAACAACTTGTAGACATTGAATGCGAGGATCCACTTTCTATTTACGTATTGGTATATGGTTTGTATTGTCCGTGTGAACTGCGTTGTTGTGTATTTGAGAAATTCATTAAAACATATACGGACTAACCGAAATAAAGTTTCTTTTTAAACCGAAATAAAGTTTGTTGAACTAATAAGTATGAGGAAATGTGTGGGTCACCGCTATTGAAGCTATATACTAAGTTTGATCGTTAACATCACGATGTGTTTTCATGATTATTTAATTTTGTATTTGAATTTGTATATATTGAAGATAAAGATATGGTTTAGTCCATAAATTGACGAAATTTTTTTTATTGACATAATTTGACGAGATTTTGTTTCAAATTGCTGAACTTTCAACATGATATAACATTGGGTTTCAGGTTGTGACTTTTCAAAAGGATATAGTTCTTATAACAATTTAAATTAGTTCCAAAATCACGCATCACAATAACATATATGTCTCAGAGGAGATTGGTGGCTGGTTGCGATTGATTATGAAAATGCGAGTTTAGTTTATCCTTATGATTGCTTTGAGAACAAGTTTGACAAAACTCTTTAGCATTCATTTGAGTTTGATTGCTTTGAGAACAAGTTTGACAAAACTCCATATAAGTAAGATTTTTAGGTTTTGTTATACTTGTCAATTTCAAATCTACCGTATATTACGAGGATCAAAATAAGTGAAATGAATTAAATGGCTTTTGGTTGGTTAGTGGGATCGGGTGTATCGGGATCAAATCAAAAGGATGCAGTAGGCGAAAAGTAATTTGTTGAAATTAATTGGGGGGGGGGGGGTGGGGATAAA